GTCAGTGGTCCTCACTAGTAATTCATATGATCAGAACCTTACCCACATCCTCATCAGCCAACAAGGATTCCCATGATAGCCTTCATTTGAGGTGTTAGCCTTCATCTTCGCCACGGATGAATCCTTCAACAAGCTGCCTGGCAACAACAGCAACATCTGGAACTGGGCTTGCTTGCGTCTTCTTGCGGCAGGCCTTGTTTCTCTTCTACATGCCCCACGGCCTTACCCATTAAGGGGATCGAATGGCCTCCTTCTTTGGGCCTTTGAAGGATCCGGCTCTTGACCCGCGGGACGAGCAAGACCGGGCAGACCCCGGCTCGGTGGATGTGGTGCACCACGGAAGTAGACGGTCTACTTCATGCCTTCCCGCGGCAGTGTCATGCCTTCCAAAGGAAAGGAAGACCTGAAGGACATGAATGTTTGGATGAACGGACATCGGACAGCAGACCGCCTGCAGACGCACCATAGACCATCGCACCGCCCCAGGCTCATGAAGTTGCCCAAGGAGAGCGACCGGGCAAACAGTGCGTGTTGACGGTCACAAAAATGAGTCCCCCAAGCGCTCGGTGTCCTCGCACGGCCAATGGGGCTGGAATGGATGGCTTCATTGACTCCTTTTTCAACCAGCCCAATGGGGCGGGAAATAGGTCATGCATGGAGTGTTTGGGTAGGGAATAAGTGCTAGGCAAGAAGGTCAAGAGCCGGTGTGGCGAGGGGGTGGAGACGTAAGACTTGCATGGGGGTTTGGGTCCACCGAAGGTTGGAAGTGGATTGAACGGTAGGGTGTATTGGGGCTCAAAGAATGAAGTTTCAGATGTTTCAGCAGTCAGGAGACCTGCAGATGTTACGTGATGTTTACTTTGTATGAGACTATGAGACTGTCATGTGACCAACTGCCCGCGCTGCAATCCCCAATTCGTTGAACGGTTCAGCCATGAAATGGATAGCATCACTGCTTGGTGGGGTCAGTCCTTGCAACATCTGCCCGGCGGACGTCGCTGATTGACCGGATGACGCTGGCGGATGACACTCACGTGTCGGCGGAATCGCTAGATCGATCGACTAGTAGCAAGTCACTGATGTAGGTGACCGGCACTGCTTCTAATGATTCTATTTTTTGCTGCTCCCCACATCAAGGACTTTTGAACATCACTGCACAGTTCTTCCTTGGGAAACTGATGAGTGTTTGCATATGTTTGTATCATGTGGACTCTCAAGCTGGTGTGGAGGTACCACCCTTGATACCTACTCGTACCGTAAGCTTGGGATTCAGGCACCCAGCAGCGGCGCACCACCATCACCCGCGGTCCGGGCGTCGCCTCTTCGCCAGGAGCCCTTCAAGATGTCTTGCGGCGACCAGCGGCACGGCTACTTCAGTTGCGGCGGGTGGCGGCCATCGAAGACGGCGAAGACGGCACGTCCTGACTCTCTGAATTCCGTGTGGTTGACTTCAGGGATCATGTATAGTAAATAGATGTAAAGGGTAGATACCAGTCCGGAGCGTTGGGGATTACAGCAATTGGGGTTGATTGATGATTGTTGCACGTTTTCTTTATAGTCATTGAATTGGTTGAATATTTTACTGTAATATGTTTTATATCCAACATTTGCCCCCCCAAAAGAACAGATTGTATAATTACAACATGTATGTCCCAAGTCCCCAAGATCACCCCAAAAGATTGGCACATCTTGGGGACACACTCATTATATAGATCATGTAATGTCCCCAAGATCATGTATGTCCCCCTCCAGTGGGGATTAATCCCGAGTACCTATGGAAGTAAACACTCCCCAATTAAAAACACGCCATGTCCGAAACCCTAAATACGGTTTATATTTCCCAGAGACTCCGGGGCCACAACCCGGTTGGCTCCGCCTCGGCCCATCTCCGCCTAAAAATCGGATGCCGAGCCTGGCTTTCATCACGCCGCCCGGCGACTCGCCCACATCCAAAGCTCACGGTTGGTGGGGTTGGTGTGTTGCATTCCCAAACACTCCATAGGACTGGCATATATATATAATATGATATAAATCATATTTGCGTATACATCAACCCCTTTTCAACCACCCCAAGTGATTGGTATATATGCCAGTCCCATGAAGTGCTGGTTTTGATTCATTAAGAGATTTGGATGTCATTGGTGGCATTGCTGCTGTGTGGAGTCCTCGCTTTGGCATTGGCCATGCCTTTTTCTTTTCGACTGACCTTGGCACCGGTCCCATGGCCATCGACAAGTCTAATAGACGATTTGACCGGTTCCCAGTGTTTCGGCTGTGGGTGCATCAAAAACATGCAAAAACCTGTCCAAAATACTATCAGGGTCAAGAGTCTGAAGGGGAGAGCTGTGTGTGTTTGGATGATCGGACTGGTGACCAAGTGGACTTTCTGGGCTTCTCTGAGAAGTCGGCCAAGGCTGTGTGTGCGCTTGTCGCACATCTCTATGGAGACGAACTGAGCACCGAGAGCACCATCGGTAGTTCGGTCGCGTGAAAACCTATAAAAAGACCCGCTGTTCTCCTTGAGGGCGGTGTTGTTTCTCGGTTTTCGGCGTTAGCTGCTGACAGGTGTGCGTGTGTTTGACAGAGTTGCGTTCAAACTAAGTTAATATAAGTAAGTAAGTTCTTTAAGACTCAGGAAGTGAGTCAACTCATGATGAACAGTCATCAGATCAGATGGCACACCGCAGTTGACCGTACCTTGGGACCGCGCACCTGCAGCTGCGGTGGTCGACGCCGACCGCTCGTCGGCGATGAATGGCTTTTGTACAGTGGTCATCTACCAGCACCTCTAGAGGCTTCACGGATGTCAACGTTTCCCAGACCATCCATGTATGATATATATATATATATAGTATATTATAATATATTATATATATACCTACATTGTCCCGTTTTCAACCACCTCAATGTAGGCGTGTATCTTTACCAGCCCCATTGGACATCAAATGATATGAAAAGCATTTGGGGACCGGTCTTGCACTGAATGGCCCCTCCTTGAGGGTTGCTCCAGGACGTCCAGGATTCGCCTCGTTTTTCACGTGTCCGATCATCATAGGACCTCCTTTACAAGCGAGGTGGTCGACAAATAGCCTCGTATAGAGGTTATAAGGGGTTGTTGGAAGGCAGTTGCTGAAAAACGCCAATCCTTTCACTAAGTCCATTGACCATTCGCAAGGCTCTAGACCTGGTGGCTGGAGCCGACCCTTCGCCATGGTTTTCTCGCCACCGGGCTTGGATGACCTGAGCTGACCGCTGCCCGCCAACCTGACTGACCGCGGGGAAAGCATGTGTTCGCTGGAGACGTGGTGCCTTTAAGGGCGAGTTTCAAACTCTGCTGAACACCCCCCCGTTGGTTTGCAGCATGTTCGTCATTTTGGTTGTGTGCACGTGTTCCATGGCGTGCAGGTTCTGATAAGGACCCAAATTGGTGGCTTGCAGTACCCTGCAGATTCACCATATGGATCCCCAAAACCATGTGGGTCTTTGGAAAAAATGGTCTTCTTCGATCTTCTTCGAGTATTTCTGACAGGGTTCATGGAGTGCGGCCGTGCGTGGAGGGTTATCCAAGCATCCGATCAGGCAGGGCTCAGAGAGAGGACCATTCGCCAGGTAAGTACGCTCGACTTGCCGCATCGGATGGTCATCCGATGAGTCGAGGTCTCTCCGACCCAGTTGGATCTGGGGCCCAGGGGATCAGCAGATGCCAAAAAAGTGTAACCTTTTTCTTTTGGAAAGTGAGGTGGGTCAGACATGTGTTTGTTTGTGTTTTGTTCCAGGGGTCATGTTCACTTCCCTGATTGTTTCAGGGAGGGTTACTGGACTATTCAATTGCCTTGGGTCTCATGAAAACAAACTATATTAAACTACTAAATTCATAATATATATATTATATATATTGGTTCGGCTTACCCTTGAACCAGCGAAAGCACCCACACCCTGAGAGCTCAGTGGTGTCATTTCAAACACCAAAATCGCAAAAATCGCCTCACAAACCACTCCAAACATACGACAATTCTCTAAGAAGGCCCCAATGTTCGAGTGAGAAGCCCCCCAGATTACCAAAAGGCGGGGGACAGCATGTTGGCACCCTGCCACCGCCTTTCCTGATGCATTGAAAACAATGACCAATACACAAAGATAGTTCTTAATTCTTGAGGGGGCGTGTTGCTGTAAGAATTGTAATATACAGCGACATATTTTGCACCAGAACGGTGCAGCTGCGGAGTAGTGCCCTGGCTAGTTCGTGTCACTCCAAGAGAGCATCGCCTGTGGAGAGGGCTATACACATAATGGTGGATTGGCCCGTGTTTGATGCAGTTTCCAAATAGAATGGCTGATTCATGTCAAAATATTCAGTTCACGCCCCATTTTGCCATACAGGACTGCCACTGAGATCTAGGTCGTTCCTTCCTTCGGCCGGCTTGAAGCGTTCGACTTTCCAGGAAGGATCACCGTCAGCGGCCTCTATTTAACACTCTGTGGTCCAGTTCAGTGGTGTGCCAGCACCCTTCTCAACCCAGCACGTTCCGGGATTTCCGGGCAGGTCTTTTTTCATATGGTCAAATCCCCTAAGCTGGGGAATGTGTTGCATTTTCCGGGATCCTTAAGCAAATCTAATTAGATTATAAGGTTTGGATTTGTTTGGGGGAAACCGCACTCCTAACAAGGGCCTTTTCACCGCTGGGGCCCCGCTGAAACTGGTGGAGGCCTAGACGGCGCGAGAGTGTCTGGAGGAAAATTGTTGGGAAGACCACGGGGTGTGACGCATTCAGATGATTAATTAAGGCGATCCATGTTTGAGATGCCTCGTTTCAGTGCTTACAAGGTCATATCTCCCAGGGTGTCACTGCGTTTGTTCAAGATGCTTGGAGCCTCACATTTGCCTCAAGTCGGATACATGTATGCTTGACGGATATGGTCAAAGAAGTCTTATAATAAGATAGACTTTGCGCATGTCTTTTTGTGCGCCCGACTTCTCTGTGGACATCTCTTTGCAACAGGTCGTCCGGATCCAGTGAAGCCCATGGACCCACCGGGTGGACGACCAGGCCGCGTATTCGACTTGGGGACTGGAGCACCCAGATGAGTCACACACTTTTCTTTCGAGGTAGACCCAAGCTTCCTCTACCATCAGCATGGTTTTTCCGAGAATGCGCATCCACCGTGCATCATCTATCAAATGCCAGCCCCCAAATGGGCAGGATTCTGGCACCCAAAATGAAGATCTTCCGCTCTGAAAGTTCGACAAACTCCCCGCTTGGTGCGGGAGTGAGTAGCAGTGGTCCGGGAGTGACGAGCGCTCGACCTTTGCGGCCTCCAAGGCGGAGAGACTCGTAGCCCCGTCTCTAAGGCGACTGCTGGGATGGATCGGACTGGGTTCACCTCAAGGAATGAAGGGGTTTGGGTCATGCCTGGATGTCTTGGAAAAAAAAAAATATATATTATATATTCCCTAGGGATCCACATACCTTCTCAGAAGGTAATTGGACCCTCCAAGCCTACTTAAATAGTCTCCAATCACCTTCTGAGAAGGTACTTGGATCCCTACGGATTCTTGTGGAACCTCGAGGAAAGGACAGGAATATGTCTTGAGATTCTTGGGGATCACGTTGAGAGCGGGTGATTCAGACTTCTGAGAGGGTGATTCAGCTTAGCTCAGAGTAGATGTCCCAAACCTAGAATCATATAGACCACATGAGCTGAATAAAAATCGCCCTTCTGTAGCTATATGTAGCTGGGATCGTGATTGTAGAATGGATGCTTTTTTTGTGCAGCTGTCATGTTTTGGCCATGCTGTAATCAAACTAGTGCTGCGGAGGGGCTCGCAGCGTGCTTCTGCTGCGTCTCCTGGGAGCGCAGCGTGCTCCGGAGTTAGGGGACATTCCCGTTGTTCCCGTTGCCAGTCCACATGGCGCAGCCACCTCTGGGGTTGTGCCATTGACTCTCCCAACAAAACTTGTCCCTGAAAGTGTTGCGCATAGGTTTTGCAGAAGTTGGTTTGGTGATCTGACAAATGGACTTAAGGATGGTTTGGTTTGGCCACCGGGACAGCGAGCTGCAAGCTGAGGGCGCTCAGGGCTTCAGCTATGATGCCGAGCTGCAAGCTGCAGGGCTGGAGGCACATGTTCCGGTGCTGTCATGGGGGGGGCTCCTGGGAGGATCAATATGTTTTTTGCCGGTCACGCCCCTCCATAGAAGGAAGCCTCACAGATAGCAGGTGTATTGTAATATATTGTCATATATGATATTGTGTTTTAAATGGCCTTGAAATGTGTGTGTGTGTGTGTGTTTTTGGGTGTTCTATACGTTTTGAGCAGTTATGCAGTATGCAGTCACTCGTCATGGAGTGTAGGACCACATTTGCAGCGCAGGAGTTCTGCATGTAAACAAACAACCGACTAGCCTGACATGGAGAGATCGATTCCGATTTGTTGTGCGGTCGTAGTTCATTTGTGTTTCATCGATGCAATTAGTTAGGACTTTGATGGATTTTTGGTGTTATTTGCAAATGGAATGGCCCAAACATGCTCTCCCACCACAGGACAAACTATGAGCCTAGTGTTAATGCAGAGTTCATGTCTTGATAACGTGGATGAACTGAAGGAGCACGTACCCTCTGAGAAGGTGATTGGAGACTCTTCAGGCTTGGAGTTTCCAATCACCTTCACTGGTATGTGGATCCGTAGGGCTGTAGGGCTTCTGAGAAAGAACCTGGGCTTTCCCAGTCCGGTGCCTCCCTGGTCGGCCTCCATGTGAAACACCCCGTCTCTGCGGGGGTTTGCGTCCTCCATCGACGAGAGGGTTGTGGTTGTGCGTCTTCAGCTTGCCAAACATGTTGCACACTCTTTTTCGAACACATCGCATGTGGGAAGTGGATCTCATGGTCCCATGGAATGCTATGTCCTCTTTCCTTTACGAGCATGAGCTGAACGCTTTGTTGTGTGTGTTCGTCGGCATGCGTTTGTCCTTTCTTCACAGACCCGCTTCCATCACCCAGGCGCCAGAAGCTCCGGGCCGAGCTGCGTGGGAAGGCCCAGTTGACCGAGGTGTAGGCCAGCATGACCTGCACTGTGAAAACCGTCAAGATTGTCGGAAAAATAACCCGAACTTACAGCCTAAGTGGATTACTACTGTAAAACCTTTAGCGTTTTGCTTGTTTTGAAAAAAGCTCGAGCGGCTTTTCACATATAGACAAGGTTTATATATTATATATATATATATTATAACATGGTCATACCCCCACTTCTTCCCAACCTCTTAGCTCCAGAAGCTCAGAGTCCGCATGGGCTGGCGAGCGAATGCGTGGGCGATTTGGGGCAACAGCATTATACAGGTCTTTGGTATGGGGTATGGTGTATCCCAGACACTATGGTATGGTTTCCGGTGCTGACTGGGGTCCTTTTTCAGGATTTCGGTATTCATCGAGGATGAATGTTGGTTGCTGGTTGACTCAGAACGGGAGGGACTGTTCGTGGTTTTGCCCGGTCGCAGCTGCCTGGCCGTTCGCAGCGAGTCCACAGGTCTGCATGACGCAAACCACGACCTTAGCACGATCTGGGCAGCCATTCCTGACAGCCCGGCCTCACCCACCAATCCACCTTTTTTCCAACGAATCAATAAGAAGCATTTACCTAACTACCATGGAACACATTTACCTGCGCTGTATGCGCACATAGATGCTCAAAACCCGAGGAAGAGATGTTGAGGCATGCATAACTATGCATAATACATGCATGCATGGATATGGATATCCTTCCGTCAAGTTCAACTTATATAATAGGTGAGCTTAGTAGAGCTTTGCAAATTGCCAACTTGCACATGCCTCCCTTGCGCCGCTGCTGCTGGGCCGTGCTCTTGGTTGCTTGGCCTAGTCTCCCCTGGTGCCTCCACGTGCCGCTTGACTCCACACGGCGCCGGCTGTTGGCGAGCTTCCTGGGGCTGTCGACCCCCATCTCCGTCGCAGCGAATGCACGGCCGGACGCGACGGACTGGGCCGGGGCTTTCGCTGCGAAGAACGCAGCGAATGCGGCTGATGGCTGCATCCGGTCCATAGCCAAGAAGTATGTGGATGCTTGACGGGAAGTTGGCTTTTGGGAAGGATGAAAGGTAAATGTCTGGGTTAAGATCGAGCAGTGCATTTGCGAGGTTCCTGGCTGTTGATTTCTGAGGATGTGAGAGGTGAGGGTAATTAGCAGGACGATAGCTATGGTGATCTAGGAGTAGAATTGTTAGTCTCTAGGGACTAGGGACTATAGGGCATTCATCAACCAAGCTCTCAGAGATCCTACATTTGATCATGGCCACCCGGCTACTGGTCCAGTGGTGCAGGAATGAATCGCATTTTCATTCATATCAGGGACATCCCGCTTGCCTGACATGTAGTGGTGAAGGCTTCTTGGCCTCGGCTCGAAGATTTGAAGGCTACGGCTGTCTGGAGAAGGCAACATGTATGCTAGCTGTTTGGGTTTATGCGCGCTCCTAGGGATGCTTTGGAGATTTTGGGGCACTTTCCGTGTGAACTGGGTATTTGGTGCGAGTAAATAACAGGGTGGAAGTGGAGCCAAGGAGATGATGCCAGACTCGGCGCCAAGCTTCTTGCGCTTGGCCTTCCATGATGCTGCAACCAAACGTGGGGATGGACAAGGACCCAATGGCTCCATACGAACCTCGCATGGGAGTTCGACTGTTTGGGATTCGGATGTTACGAGACGTGGGGAGATCAAGAACAGACACGACATTTTCGCAGTAGGACGCGGGCACGCCCCCTCCGAATCTGTTGAACAACTAACTATGTGCCACGGGTCTTCTTCAGCTTCAACCTTTGTTTGAATTTGAAGGTGGGTCTTTCTTGCCCTCCGGGCCAGGCATACTTTTCGCAGGGTTGGAAGTTGACCCACAGGGCTTTTGGGGGGCTGTAATTTCAGGTTGAATGGTCGGGATCCTGTACTTCCGTATCTTTCTTCTGCAAAAATCAAGCAGCACGCCAAGCATGTATCGTGCTGGCTCTTCCCATTCACGTCCTTGTCAATCGTCTTGTTTTCGGGTGTCCACATCCATCTATAGAGTCTAAGTTCTTAAAAAAAAGAACATTAAAAGGAGCAACAACATACGGTACTTCTCATTGACGTAGAGAAACTCTTATTATATACTTCCCACTGCACACGAAAACAGATTCGTGAAAGAAGAGACCCACACGCAGCACAGTAAATGGTGTGCATTTAATTTATATATGTTCCACATTGTTCCACCATGTTCCACCAATCAATCGCAACGGGTACATGAGAGGCCCGATAACAAGACTGCATCAGTCCCGCCTCCTCTCCGACCGCCCCAGGTTTTGAGCTGGAGCGGAATGAAAATCTGGGGCCAAGCTTGCAGCGGGCGCTGCGGGCCATCGAGGACATTCGCGCGTCGAGTTGTGTTTTAAAATCCACGGTCAACCAAAACCTAGCCAGCCAATTCTCATCTCACTTGGTTTTGGCCACTGGCCCGGCTCGTCGAGGAGATGGTGAACATGTGCCATGTCTCATGGGCGGATGCGATCGCGGTCAGTGGAGCTGCAGCCTCGTGGCTTCGGAGAAGATGGGACGCAGGAGGTGGTGTCCTTGCTGCGGATGTTGATGGGGCGCTACCATGCCCCACCACCGGCTTGATGGTGTTTGCATGTGTTTGCTATTTCAGGTGGTTTGTCGCAGAAAAACATCCGCACCAAATGCAGATTTAGCAGCGCCCGTTTCCCTCGATGCAAATAAAGCAGGTGGTTATTTGATCGCAAGTGATGCAGGCGTACCTTGAAGCCATGAGCCATGACCATGGCAGAGGAATGGACCACCCATGAACATCCCATGACCATGACCATCCATGAGCCATGACTGTATGTTTTTGTTCCCCACCTGTCAGGTGAGGGTTGTTAGATTTTACGTCAGCCCCATCTCCTCCTCCTCCTCCTCCTTCTCCTCCTCCGCGTCCTCCTCCGCCGGACCTCAACCACGACCATCCACGCCCAGCGTTCCCTGCCGGACCTCAACCACGACCATCCACGCCCAGTGTTCCCTGCCGGACCTCAACCACAGCACACAACCACAAACACACAACCACAAACACACAACCACAA